TGACACACTCCACTCCCAACTCTTCACACTGACACACTCCCAACTCTTCACACTGACACACTCCACTCCCAACTCCTCACACTGACACACTCCCAACTCTTCACACTGACACACTCCCACCTCTTCTCACTGATGCTGACACACCCCACTCTCAGTGCACATGACCTTCTAGAACTCTAGCACTTGCTGTTGGCATGACTGGAATGTTTTCTTTAAAAGCATGCACTCCCTAGGGAGTGATAGCGTTGGCATAATCACATATTGACATGGGCTGCTTGTTTGTGCTCCTGTTTCCCACAGGCTGTGTGTGGTGTCCATCCCTACCTTTCTGTAGGCTGCTCATATTGGGCTGCAGGAGAGCTGCCATGGGGCATCTGCCTGAAAAACCAAGCACAGCAGAATGTCATGTTTCTGGTTCACTTGTGCCACTGAGAGGTGTGTGAGCCAACTGGAAGCTCTGGGTTTGCTTCCTCTGAGCTGGATTGGTGCAGTGCATCACCTCATTCACAAGGACTTCATCTTGTCTCAGCATAAATCAGTCAGTGTGTGTTTTCATTTTTATCAGGTGTTGCTTATCAACAAGAGCGTCTTACAACACTTCTTAGCATGAGAGAGAAGGTTACAATTTCAGGTTTGTGGAAAATAGGATGCTAGCAAACTGTTAACACCACACGATTCAATCATCTTTAAAGTTCATGCATTTGAAGGAAGCTTATCTTTCTTCTATTACAGAAACGTTGCTGTCTGTGTCTATTATTCGTCACAAAACCCAAACTCCCGAAGAACAGAGAACGGAGGAAACTCAGGGTGAATGGGATGGAGTGCCTTTCACAAGAGCCGGTGCTGTAGCTGTCCTGTGGAAGGGGAGGGGTTATCCAAAACATCACAGAGGCAACTACTGACAGCCCGTTCTCCAGAGTCATTAAGCGTGAGAATCTGAGAGCAGTCGGGCAGACCCGGAGAAACAAACAGAATTAGTAACAATGACAATAACAATAAGGGTCAGTGTGAAACAACACACAACGCAGGAAATGGAAACAAGCTATCCTATTTACAAACAAGGCCTCAAAGAGGCCTGTTTCCTGACCATCCAGAAAAACCTAGACTACTACCCAATATTCAAAAATCCTATATCCCGCCTAACAGGCCTACAAGAAAGATCAACCTGTACCCTAAAGAAGAACAAAATTCAAACCCAGAGCTAAATCTCTCTTCCTATAAATCCGGTAGCTACAAAGTGAAAGGGAAACCAATCTTCCTATTATGAAAAAGCCAGGAGAGACCATCTTTAACCAAGGGATTCTCTATAAAGGAAATGTCCTAAACAGCAGAATGGCAAGCTCTTCACAAGGTTCAGATACAGAACTCAGATCTGGTCTTTGCGTTGATCTTAACAAGGTCCACTTGGCGGGACTCCTATTTCTTTCTCCATGTGTCCTGGGCTGTTGAAAGTATTTACCCAAAACTTAATTAAACCGGACAATTTCTTCGATTGATGTGCATCAGAACCCCAGCTCAGCAAACACCTCAGTCTGAAAATCCCGAGAGCTGCCCCTCCACAGCCACCCCCCATAGCTGTAACAATGTAATTTCGTATTGAGAATAGTAAGCTATTTAGAATGGCAAAGTAACACAAACGTATGGCCACACCTGAATAACATAAAGGGGACACAAGTCATTGCAAAGCTGAAAAATGTTACTAGAACATCAGGAAACAAAATCTTCCACAACCTTGATGACAAAGGCCTGAACAAGTGTTAGGAGACTTGCTCTCTCTGCTTGCGTTTTCTTTGATCACATGATCTGCTGTCCAGGTGGGCAGTGCTCTCAAACCCAGGTGGCTGAGGTCCCTGCTAAACGCAGGGAGGGCGATGACATCAGCGCTACACCAGCAAAGGCATACCTAATTACATCACTTAACTAATTGCAGATAATCAATGATAATTGATAGCAGTAACAGCAACATTATTATTTCATCAATGGTTTCTTTGCAGTTTGTTCTGCAATTTCCCTCACGGGATCAGTAAAGTATCTATCTATCTAAGCCCAAATGAGACTTCTAGGGAGATTGCTAGCCAGGGATGCAGGGCAGGACTCTCAGCTGAAACTGAGAATCACGGTGTGGCTCAGCATTCACCCCTCCAGCGCCAGGCAGGGCCGGGGTTAAGCATGATTCCCAGACTTATCTTAACTAACAGACAGCCCCGTGCTATCACCCCTGCAAATTACTTCCTGGTCTTATCTGTGACTGTGGAAGCACTGTGAATTCAGAGTCCTCTGGCCTGCTTACATGACAGTAAAGGACATAATCTGGATCATAGACTAAAACAATGTATAAGGGTTCTGAATTGATCATAATTGATCATATGGAGTAAACTGCTTACCGTTTTTTTGTTGTACAATTTCTGTGGTAATCTTCTCCTTAAACTATAGACATCCTGTTTCATGACAACACTTAATCCCAATCTGTGTTTTATAGCACAAAAAGCCGTCCTTCAGTATAACACTTCTCCTCTGTTGCTCGTGTGCAGTTCACCTTCAGTTACTGTGATCTGATTTTCTACAGATTCTGATCTATGCGAATGAAAGGTGCTGAATGACAAGGTTGGTGTCTTTCCCCAAACTGCGCTGTGTTACATACAGTCACAGCTGTTACAACTGTATGAAGCATTAGTGAAGGCTGTGAGTGACTGTTGATACTCAACACACACACACCACATCTTGTAATCCTGTACCTCCTGACTGTTTCTAAGATGTCTGAGACCTTTGCACAGCAGCAAACACTTAGGAAATGTGTGACTCACTCAGCAGCAAAGAAACAGGAAATCAACTGCAAGGCCCTCTTCCCTTTTTGTCAAATTCTTTGCTTACATTCACTTTTTAGTTTGTCACATTTTGGAACACTTGTCTGTAAAAAATAGAGACCCCTGCCCGCGCTGCAGGTGGCAGAATGTCTTGAAACACACAATAACTTTTCTGAGCTATCTTCTCTCTGCATGTTTTCTTCATGGCAGCAACAGCAGGGAACCGATGCTGTCTGGTAGAGAGTGTGGGAGAAGCGCAGTGTGGCGGAACATGAAACAGAACATGAGGGGCTTTTTGAAAGTATCCTGGTGGGAATTGTGAGTCTCAGGAATTCAGGAGAAGATGGGAAGTCTCGATTCCCAGAGGTGGGTGGTTGAGTCCCTTTCCCTCAGTTAGGAATGGTAAGCAACGTCCGAGAGAATCAAGATCTGAACTATGCATTGGTATACTGTGATGATGAATTTATCCCCCCATTTCCCAGAGTAAATCTATATACAATATATCCGTCCTTCGGATGAGACGTAAAACCGAGGTCCTGACTCTCTGTGGTCATTAAAAATCCCAGGCCGTTTCTCGAAAAGAGTAGGGGTGTAACCCCGGCATCCTGGCCAAATTTCCCATTGGCCCTTACCAATCATGGCCTCCTAATAATCCCCCTCTATGAACTGGCTTCATTACTCTGCTCTCCTCCCCACTGAGAGCTGATGTGTGATGAGCGTTCTGGCGCACTATGGCTGCCGTCGCATCATCCAGGTGGGGCTGCACATTGGTGGTGGTGGAGGGGAGTCCCCATTACCTGCAAAGCGCTTTGAGTGGACTGTCCAGAAAAGCGCTATATAAGTGTAATTATTATTATTATTATTATTATTATTATTATTATTATTATTATTATTATTATTATTATTATAAGGTGACTCCAAGAAATAGGTGACTGCGTGATGAGAAAATTATGTTGGATCTACTCCAACAAGTACTTTACACCATGTCCCTGTCAGAATATCCAGGCTTTAGCTGTTTCCCTCCCTATTATAACCAAATCCAAGCACAGAGCTGTGTAGTCAGTGCTGCTGGATTCCACATTTCTCATGCCCACTTAGTGACCTGCAAACTCCCTCCCAGGGCTGGCAGGCTTGATTCAGAGTGAAGTCACACATCCGAACATGCGAAAGCTGTGCTCCTGTCATTCTCCAGGAAAGGCTAAGGTGAACAGTAAGCAGCAGACTATCTCCCAGGCTTGCAGGAGGACACCAGTCCTCCGGAGTCTACATGAACAGACCAGGAACCGGACAGTTATGCCTCCAATAGTCAGCTCCATATAGACGCAGCACCACTGGGGAATCCGAATGACTGGAACATGGAAAAATATTCACAATTCTTGGGAATCTGGTGGCACCACACATCAGGGGCAACACAAAGACATTTTTTTTGCTATGAGTGAGACCTTTGTCTCTCTCCTGTACAAAAAACCCAGATGTCAGTATTCACTGTGCCATTCTTTTAGCAAATGGCCTGTAGATACAAAAATCACACATGATACATCTTTTTAAAAGTCATAACAATATGACAATGTGCTACATTTTTCCATTACTTACCTGTACTGTATGTTTAAATCATTGTCTCTTATAACACTCATTCTCTTGGGTGACTATTCAGTTGTAGGGGACAGCCTTTTTCAAGTACTACTGCTAATAATAAAATCATTCCTTTCTAGCATGACAAGCTGGGGCAGTTATAGTGGAAGACACCTGGAGTAATTATTCTTGGAGTTACGCATGCTGCTCTCTATTTTCCACTCCAGTTTTTGCTCTTGACACTATTCCTCTTGGATTTCCTGCTGTCCCAGTCTCTCACCTGTTGCTAAGAGGATGCATCTGCACCTGCCACCCCCCCAACCAGAAACATTGCTCAGAGCAGGGAACAACAGTCCATCACACCGAGACAACTCCATTGAATCAAAAGGATAACATCACAGCAGGAGCCTTGCATGCTGTGGATGCAGAAAAGCTCTTTATCGCACATGGGCCAAGCTTCCTGATGATGGTGAGCTCAATCAGATTTTCCAGTGTGACTCTATTCCATCCTGTGTTTGTGTGAGGTGTCAGAAAACTACTTTCTCACCAACACAATCCTAGAGTCTGCAGCCCTCAGACAAGGACTGCCTCACACCTGAAGGCTCGAGTGACGTTCCTTCCTTTTGTGTTTCAGTGTGGAACTAACCTGTACAGTGCTGCCGCATTCAAATCAGCCTCCTTTACAATGAGATAATACAACTGTTGTGCAGCACAGATGTGTCCCGTATTTGACTCATATACAACAGCAGTGCAACCACCTGTAGCCTGATCTGGTCAGTACTGGGATGGGAAATCTCCAGGGAAAAGCAAGATGATGTATTTCTTCCCTCTTTTTTCCCTGGGATCAGAAGTTCCAAACCAGTGTAGGAGGAGCTGTCCCTCTCATGAGAGTTCAGGAATAGTCCGGGCTGCGGTGATTAAAGATTCCATGACACTTTTCAAAGGATCGGAGTTTTCTACTGTGATATCCTAGTTGAATTCCAAGCTGGGCTTGAAAAATCTGGCCACTTACTGTAATTAGCAGGTCGAGTGGAATCTGTCCTATAGGGAAAGTGCTTTGGGATCCTCTGGGTGGAAAGTCGCTACATAACGGTGATTAATTCTTACTATTCTGTAATCTCTGCCTCAGTGCATCACACCATTAGAACACAGGTGCGTTGTCTTCTGGAGTGCACATAGTGTTCCTGTGCACTGGGGGATTCACACAGAGGCAGAAGCACAAGGTGTATAAAGTCCCGCCCACCACTGCTCGCTTCTCAGGCTGTGCGTCTGTCTCACCTCTGTCTTAGTGGCAGGCAGTAGGTTCATCATCCTTTTAGCTTTGGCAAAGTATTCATGCTCCTTCTGATGGACCACTGCTTATATCAGCTGGACTGTATGAAAGAACAACCCCATTTTGTTGTTCCAGACTCCCACAACCACTTGCACAAAGACATGCCTCCTGTTCTTGGTTTTAAAAGTACTTCCACATAGTTTCTTGTGTCCTCTAGTTCCTGTTTCAGAAGAAATCCTCTGGGTCGACTTTGTAAGGCCTTTGAGTATTTTAAATACTTGGATAGCATGCATCACATTTCATGGCAGGTTTGTGAAAAGTTTGTTCAACAACATTTCTTACCATGTAAAGCTTTGTCATGTACAAGTCCATGCAAAAGAACTAAAGCTGCAGAAGTCCTGCAAAATATTGCAGGAATCTGGAGCAAAGACCTTTAGCTACTATCCACCAGAAGTCTTTTTTAGGAAACCCCAAAGATGTAATCTGTCTGCACAGCATATCTCCAAAAAAGAAAGTTACAGGGAAAATAAAAGATTCCTAAAAATCTTACATGTGGAGCAGTTGGTAAGGAACAGCATGTTTGTGAGAACTACAGCCTTGCATACTGTATGTAAGGACTCAATCATGACCTCTCATGGTTACCTCTTACTTTAGAGCCACTCTGCACCACTCCCCACACAGTGGAGTATTCCACTATGCCAAAGGGACAGCCCTCCCACTGCAGGGGGACTCCCATGGCAATGACATCATATCCTGATCCATTCAACATGTAGCAAGCTCAGAGCCAGATTTGCCCCATACAGATTGGTGTTGCTAATCTCCTTCTGGGTGGAGGGAGTTTATTAAAAACACTAGCAAGGCTGTGCAGAGATTTGTACAGGGTTTTACTATTGCAGCAGTCCCACTCTCCCTCCACCCCTCCTCTGACTGCGGTGACATCATCCAGGCAGGGTGAGGCTATGAAAGTGACACTGTCAATAAGTCTGAAGCCAGCCCCTCTAATATCTCTACAGCTCAGACACAGTTTTTTTTTCAGACCTCCATAGACTCTATAACATTACTCGAGCAATGCTACAGCTTTGTCCTCCTCTTTCAGAGCCTGAATTTGAAAGGAGAGCTTCTTGATCTCAGAACTCCGAACCTGTTAATAATAAACCCTGGAGAACGCATGTGGGCCCACTAATATACACTGGATGTTTGGGGGTAGGGTTTCTTATATCAGATTCCAAGTAACATCTGTGGAAATTATATACCGGTATCTCCAAAACCAGGTTCCAGGTTTAGAATTAAAACAGCAGACAAACACATAGAAATGCCCCCCAGGGCAACACGCTCGGGCCACATATTTCTCTGTATAGGTCCACAGTCTGATTTTCATTTCCCCCAGTCCCCTGTAAACTCAAACTCCAGCGCGATGCAGTCAGTCACTTCTCCGGCGCACTCTGCAGCCCACCGCACGGCACTGCCAGCTGCTGTTGTAGTTAACACAAAATTGTGGGATTTTTAGAAAACAAAATCTCTGTCCTGTCATTCTCCAGGCAGAGCTCAAAGATACTCCAAAGAAATACTCCAGGGAAAGTCCTCAATTCTGGCGCTGTTCCTAGTTTTTTTTTGCCTACTGTACTTGGTTGCACATAGACTTCCACTCCTGGACTTAAACAGCACTTTTGAGGAACAGCCAGACTCTCCCACAACTCAGTCATTATAGTGCTTCTTGTCTTGCGTGGATCTGACATGTTGCTCAGTGTACCGCGTGATTCTCTGAGACAGCACACCTGTTTCCAAAACCATATTGTAGAGCATCGCACGTTTCTCATTACCTTCTGTAAAAACTAGCATCACATTCACATATTGCATAATATATACGGGATATAGGGAACCCATTTTTATCCAAAATAACTTCTCTGTGGACCCATGTTAACAGTTATAGGCTTAGAAATTGCTAAGCACTCCCGCACTAGAGAGAAAGGCACCTCATCAATCTCTAGCCTAGAGGTTGTTTCAGCTCAATCTCTCTTGCATACCTTGGCAATGTGTACACAGCACACCTTTGCAGAACTGACGACCGCTTCTTCCATTTAGAACTGCACAGAAACACCAACTAAACACAATGAGGCCACCAGAGCAGGACATAGGTGGAGAGTGTGAGATGTTCCTGAGTTTAAAAGATGAAGCAAAGTTGAACATGTTTTGCTTGTGCAAGCCGTCTATTGTTCTCACTGTTCCCACTCAAGCAGTGTTGTCAGAAGAATGTGTGTGCAGTCTGGCAATGATTGGCATATAGAAACCCCCTGTTGCTGACCTACCGGGGTTTGTTGGTAAGGATGAGACACTGAAGATACACTATTATGAGAAACACTTTGCACACTTGAAAACACACTTATTATAATAAAAATAACCTTTTAATTCTGACCCCAGAAAGCATACGATTATTCAAATGCTATCGTAAATCTTCCTGTGTCCTTTGCCAGCTAGAAGGACTGTAATAATGTAAGAATTGTTTGCCAAGTTTGAACAATCAACCCCTGGAGCACTGGAGCACTCAGAAATACTCTCTTCCTGCTCAAGAGCGATTTGACATCTGCCTCCTCACACCAGGAGAGCACACAACTGCAAACACCTGAGCGCTGACTTCCTTTACATTCTTTTACAACAAAATGCTCTGTACTCACACGTCGCTCTTCAAATAATGCACGTTCGTCCTCTGAAGGGGCTGTAAGTGAAGTCCACACCACTCAGGAACAGAAGAAGATGCCTTTGAAATGCTGCTCAGCTTCCTTTCCTGGTGTAGTAAAGAACACAGCTCCCCTGCAACACAGCAGATGTTGCGCTCCACTCTGGAAAGCTTGCCAGAGTCTAGACACAAAACAGGAGGAAGAATTAAAAACGTGGGCAACTTCTCCTCCTTTCCTGCCTCTCTGCTCCTTGTGCAATCCAGCGCCAGGCGGAGGCAGTGAGGACGGCGGAGACACTCCCAGGGAGGCAGTGGAATGTGAGAGAGAGATGGAGAGGGACTCCCAGCACGCACACACTCGGGCACACAGAGCGCCGGGCCCGGGCGGCAGCTCTAGCACCGAGGGGAGGGAGGGAGAGAGGGGGAGGCTGGGCTTGGACTGCATGAGCACTGTGTTGTGGGTGTGTGAGAGAGGGAGGGGGTGGAGAGAGTGAATTCAGTCCCGGTGCCTTTGTCTGAGCAGAGGGCTCCTCTTTCCCCACGTCTCCCTCATTTTTCACTTCCCCCTCCTTCTGTCTCCCACTCCCTCTTTCTCCTCTGTCTTCCTCTCACCGTCATTCACCTTGTTTGAAAGGCCCTTTTAAACAGTTTCCTGTTGTTGTTGCTCAGTGCTTTCCAGTCTAAAAAAACAGTTGCCCACTCCGCCCCACACTGAGTTTGCCACAGCAAACTGGCACAATTTCTCTCACTAATAAAATAATCAGAGAGAGCTTTTCTTTGGGACACTGACACAGGTACAGTCAGTGTGTGTTGAAGGAGGGTGTGCCCAGGTCCACAAGAGGATGAATCTGACTGTTTTGTGAGACATTGACATCCACTGAGCAGGGTGCGATCCTTATCAAAGAGAAGAGGAGAAGCGGACAGACGTCACTAACCAGGCATCGATCGCATTAATATAGTCCTCTTCATCCTAAAGGTGAAATCCATGGGTGATTTACATATAATAATAATAATAATTGCTTGCACTTATATAGCGCTTTTCTGGACACTCCACTCAAAGTGCTTTACAGGTAATGGGGACTCCCCTCCACCACCACCAGTGTGCAGCCCCACCTGGATGATGCGACGGCAGCCATAGTGCACCAGTACACTCACCACACATCAGCTCTCAGTGGGGAGGAGAGCAGAGTGATGAAGCCAGTTCATAGATGGGGATTATTAGGAGGCCATGATTGGTAAGGGCCAATGGGAAATTGTAGGGAATGGGAAGAGTAGGGTTACACTCCTACTCTTTTCGAGAAAACGCCCTGGGATTTTTAATGACCACAGAGAGTCAGGACCTCGGTTTTACATCTCATCTGAAGGACGGCGCCTGTTTACAGTATAGTGTCCCCGTCACTATACTGGGGCATTAGGACCCACACAGACTGCAGGGTGAGCACCCCCTGCTGGCCCCACTAACACCTCTTCCAGCAGCAACCTTAGTTTTTCCCAGGAGGTCTCCCATCCAGGTACTGACCAGGCTCACACCCGCTTAGCTTCAGTGGGTTGCCAGTTGTGAGCTGCAGGGTGATATGGCTGCTGGCTGTAATATAGCACACACACTTCCTCCACCACTCAAGGGCTGTGCCACCTGGCGATGCAGCTCCACTGCGCGGGAGATCGGGCAGGAGAGAGTAACTGCAGCACCTGGTGACCTACAAGGCACTTCAGGGAGGCCAGACTGCACAAGCCTGGAGTGGTGTTTACCAAGGACGATGAAATATCCCTGCTCTTTCGAAAAGTGCCTTAGGATTTGTAATGACCAAGTAGTCAGAACCTCGGTTTCACACCTCACCCAAAGGACAACACCTTCTGCAGCACTGAGTCCCCTGGGTCATGGGTTTGGACTTTCTGGTCCAGAGGAAAAAACGCCACCTACTGGTTCACCAACACCAATCCCTCCCCCTTACTGGCCAGACCCAGCCTTGCTTAGCTTCTGAGATCTGATGAGATCATATATATATATATCTCATAGATTTTAAATACTGTTGGTATACTGTGTGTACAGTATACTGAATGAATTTGCTTGTGTATTTCTAGCTAAGCGGTTTTTAATAGGCAATCAGTTAATGGTGAACAGACATGAGTGTGAATGGTACAGAATCAGACACCTCCCCCTGTGAGTCAATGTTTATCCTCCTGCTATCTTTCTATGGACATCCCATTGACTCCTAGTAAATTTTAATGCAATGTACTGAACTACACTGCTAATCATCTCAGTCACAGTGAGAAAAGACAAGAAAAAGGTAGCACCTTTCTAATTTAAAAAATAAAGAGTCAGGTTTACTGCTGTCAACTGCCTATTTTTCGGTGTTCATTCCCCAGTCACACCTGAACACACACAACTGGTTGTAAATCCTGAGTGTGCAGATCCACTTCCAGTTGGGATTCTGCTCTGTCACATCAGTCACCCAGCCCGTTCGTGCTCCTGGGTACGACAGCTGGATGAAGATCTACTGGGGACCAGTGTCAGTATCTCATTTGCAGACAGAAAGATTTGTGGATTTCCAACAGCTTCAAGTGCACAGAGCTTACTGCTGTCTCTCCTCAACCTGCTAATTAAGAATTTGCTAATGGATTTCTAGCTACAGTAAATAGCTTTTTATTGGTGATTAATTGACTGTGAACAGACTCAGGGTGAAGGACACTGTCTGGCACTCCCACTGAGCTCCAGTGTTTTTCCTTCTGTCCAGTTGATTAGCTGCCAGCTCTCACACCTGAGTGAGGACAGTCCTGAAACTCACACATTAGCACAAGGCTTGTACTGTGGCAATTACACATCTCATTCAGCTTTTTAATAGGTGAAAGCAAATAAAAAAGCTTCAAATATATAGATAAATTAGCCTGTGATTAAGAACAAAGCTGGTAGAAAAACAGAAAATACAGATGTTACCCAGAACCAGGAGAACCACTCCACTAGGAAACTTTTTTTAAAAGTCCAAATGAGAAATCAGATCAGTTCACTGACACCATTTAGCACTGGTGATTAAGGGCCTGGTCGGAATAAGGTCCAGAAGACACAGGTGGACTGACACAGGGCTGAGCACTGCTGATCTGGAGTCCCCATCAGAGCAGTGTGGCATTTTACAGAAACAATCTGCTGACACCTGCCCCACCCCTAACCCCTCAGCTACAAGCCCAGAGACCTGACCACTCCCCACTGCTCCACACTGCTGCCTGCTCTGGGTATTGATATACGAAGCAGAGAAAACCCATGGCAAACATACACTTGCTCTGTAGATGTCGCGTGGCGAGTTTGCAAGGGCTCTCAGTGAGTGTGGAGCGGTGCTCAGCTGAGGTGCTCGTTCCCTGTGCCTTCCTGGGTCACTGCCGCCACCGCAGAGCCCCACTGATGAAAAGCACACTCAGCTCCCCGACAGCCAGAGGACGTGAACTTATTCAGCATGCAGAAGGTTGCTATTACCTTACAGAACAAAAAAAGTTATGAAAAAAATCCTCCAGCTTACAGGCTCCCGAGCTTGTCATATTTCCAGATCAAATTGGCTCCAGTCTGGAACCCATTACCTATGGCATCATACACGAAGCAGTAATTAAGGCCTGGGGCCCCGCATAGGCAGCACTTCAAAGACTTTTCTGTTTGTAATGTAAACCACCTTAACAGGGCTCTGCCCCCCTCGAGCTCTGCTCTGGAGGTGATGTCCGCTGCAACCGTGTCTCAGTGGCAGTGCTTTGCCACTGCTAGTGCACACTTTGCACACAGACACACTCAGCTCTTGTGCGAAGTGTGCTGAATTTTCTCATGTTTTCCGAAATGTTTAAATGTGAAAATTTAGCTAGACACTCATAAAATAGATATGGGAAAGAGAGATGTGTCAGTTAAGCTTTTTATTTTGAGAAAATGAAGTTGGGGGTCTCAAAGCTGACCTCCACTTGTCTTGACACTGTTACCCTGGTTTCAGGAGCTAGCTGTGACAAATCTTTGGATCAGTTGCTGCACTGGATGGCCTCCGCCCATTTGTAATATTTCTTGTGTTTGTTTTGAGTACATTTTGCACTGGAAACGAGAGTCAGCCTGTTCCAGCATTTCAGACGTTAGGGCTGTTCAGAAGAAAATCCACCCTGCAGATGAGACATTACACAGAGTCCTGACTGCTCGCCTTACTTACTTGTAAAGCCAATGCTGCAACTCCATCTGCGGATGGTACTGTACCTGAGTTTCAGTCAAGATTGAAAAACATGGGGGTGATGTTTGGGTCAGCAGTAACGTTTGACCCACACGTGCAACATTGTCAAAACATCATTCCTTCACCCCAGAAATATCGCTACACTGCTTACTATGTTCAGGTAGTTAGCTGTGTCAGCATGTGCAGGCTGCAAAGAAACAAGTAAAGGTTTGTTGCAAGCTGAAAAAAGAAACGAGACACAATGTTTCGGCTGTGGAGCCTTCTTCAGGTGTCAATCCGGGTGAAACGTTGTGTCTCTTTTCTTTTCATCACAGAAAAGAAAAGAGACACTTATTCCTTTACTTATTCCTTTACTTCCTAAGTTATCGCTGTTGCTGAAAAGCTGATCAACACATTTGTCTTCTCCTGAATTGACTACTGCAATGCCCTATTCACGGGGTTGTCTAAATCCACATTGAACAAACTTCAGTATGTCCAGAATTCGGTTGCCAAAACCCAGACCATGTCTAGTGCAAGTGATGACATTACTCCTATACTGGACTCCTTGCACTGGCTTCCTGTCAAGTTCCGTGTGGACTTTAAAATCCTCATGCTCACCTATAAGGCTCTGCATGGCTTGGCACCTCAATACCTGTCTGAACTATTATCGTCCTACTCCCCACCTCGCAACCTTTGCTCTTCTAATTCTGCTCTCCTTACTGTCCCCCAAGCCCGTCTACATTGTATGGGTGACAGGGCCTTCTCCTGTTATGTCCCCAAGCTCTGGAACTCTTTGCCCAAGGATATCAGAGAGTCACCTTCCCTAAACTCTTCCCTAAACTCAAATCTAAATTAAAAACCTTCTTTTTCAGAAGGGCTTTTACTTACGTGGTTCTGGTATATACCGCTTTACTCCTACTGTATCTAGTTCTACTACTGTCCATCTACTGTCCTCTCATTGTAGATTTTCATTGTGTTTATATGATATATTTTTTTGTTTATTGTTGTTTTTCTGTGAAACACTTTGAGAAGCCACCTTTAAAGGTGCTATATAAAAATAAAGTTTATTTTCATTCATTATAGTTAATAATAATAATATTTCTTACTCCTCCCCCTGATTTGTTGTGCAGTGGGGCTGCCGGTGCAGAGTGGCAGCTGTGTTCCGACCTGGTGGGGCTGCTCTTCAGTTCCAGATGAAGAGGATCCCTAATCCCTTTGGATGACAAGTGCTT